GATGAGGCCAACATGAGCAAGGGGCAAGAACCAGCAATCGGCAAATGTGTACAGAAAAAATATTGATGGAAGTAAAATTGTTCGACCGAATTTTTTTTTCTTTTTTAAACGGAATTTTGTTCGAATGGAAATTCGTTAAACGGAGATTTATGAATTTATAAATTAAAAAAAAAAAAAAAAATAGGTAAAGGTGCGACTCAGAAGTGGTTGAACATTTACTAATTTTACTTTTAAAAATTTACCCCTGTTATTTCGTTTTCAAAAAATTCCGTTCGAAAAATAACTTTTTCGTTCGAACCATTTTCCCTGCAAGAAGTTTGTTCCGCAAAAAAAAAAAATNAAATTGTTCGAACGAATTTTTTTTTCTTTTTTAAACGGAATTTTGTTCGAATGGAAATTCGTTAAACGGAGATTTATGAATTTATAAATTAAAAAAAAAAAAAAAAAATAGGTAAAGGTGCGACTCAGAAGTGGTTGAACATTTACTAATTTTACTTTTAAAAATTTACCCCTGTTATTTCGTTTTCAAAAAATTCCGTTCGAAAAATAACTTTTTCGTTCGAACCATTTTCCCTGCAAGAAGTTTGTTCCGCAAAAAAAAAAAATTCCGGTAACCCCCAAGAACCACCGCGAGGTGACACACACAGAAATGATGCCACACATCTTTACATTGTCAGTTGAAACTGGAAATACCTGGACTGTACTAGAGGTGATCCACCATCCAGGTAGCGAGCTCCTTCTCTGAATCTGACGCCATTGAGTCAATGTTTAATCGCGCGGCGCAGTATTTCCATTAAACGAAGCTCTGCTAACAGGATATTTATTTGATCAGCGTCTGTGAGCCGATGAGGGCGCTGCACCCATCATTTGCCACAAGCGGGTGAAAGTGCTGCTCTGGCCTCTTTAGCTTCAGTGAAGGCAGAACGCTTTCACAAAAATAAAATAAATCTTCGAATAAAGATAGTATTTGTTGACAGAATTTGTGTGAAAATGGGGGGTGGGGGTGTGGGGGTGGGGGTGTTGAAGATTAGCCTCTGGTGTGTTAAGTATAGAATTATCCAACACGCCAGGCCGCTGGGACACATTTGTACAACTCGCACATCTCCTGGGGTGATACAGTTTGGTACTTGAACCATAACACCTTGACTTCCCGCCTGTTAGATCGTCTCTCTTTTTCTGCTCACGTCTTCTCTCCCGAGACCCCGCCATTTGTTTACCAAACAATTTACGGGAAATCCCCAGCACGCAATTTTAGAATACATTCCCCCCCCCCTTATAAACAAAAACAAAACAAAACACCATTTCAACACGTGACAGATCGTCACTATGAGAAATGAACTGTAAAATCTATAGCCAACTGTGCATTATGCAGGGCGGTAGCTTTTTTTTTTTTTGCATAGGTTCTTACGCGTTTTCAAGTCACGACCCTTTTACACACACAGGCAAAGGCAGGGCTTACCGTGGTATATATATATCTATTAAAGCTATAAAATGGGGTCACTTCTTGTACATTGAAACATATTAAAACTAGATTTTTCAGTAATGTAATTGACGTCACATGTGATGCCATGATATAAATGGTATCTCAAACTATAACTTATAGCGTAAAAAAAAAAATTAAAAAAAGGAATCTAATTAAAATTCGATAATTATATTGAGATCCCCGTGCAACCCTATTTAAGGTCACGTCCCACGGGCTGGGAACCAGTGCTCAAGTAACTTACTATCCCGGGCTGTTTATGTGTTAAGCTACCTTCACATGGCGTAGTGTATTTTTTCTTCAAAAACCATCGTCCACCCCCCGTTCCGCCACATCTTGGTCATCCTCTGCATCCGTACCCATCTCCGGTCGTCCTGACTTAGTCTTGCCACTGGACACGTTGGGTCCAGACGAGAGAGTGAAGTCGACGCTGCGCAACTCTTCCTCACAAAATCATCCGCGCAAGTCATCAGTCATCCAACACCCATCATCTCAAGTCCTGTGGTGACGAGTAATTTTTAACCGGATGACTAGATGGTACTAGTCGATATTGACGGACAAACAACAACAACAACATCATCAACATCCCAAGTAGGGCTTTGACCTGCCTCACCACTTCCTTCAACCCAGTCCTATCAAACGCTTTTCTTTTCCAAGCTTGGATTCCCAGCTATTGTAGATCTCTTTCAACATCAGCCATCCATTTAAGCCTAGGTCTGCCATTGAGCCGTTTTCCAATAGGGTTTTGGTGATGCGCCCTTTTCACTCCTCTGCCATTTGGCATTCCTTCTAGGCCTAGGGGTAGCGTACCCCTTTTTTAAAATTCCCAAATCAACATTGTGAGACAAATTAAACATAAATGAATACGAATTATATTTTCATTTTTCATTTAAAAAAAAAAAAAGTTAAATTAAAACCCGCTTCAAGTTGCAAGTTGTTTGAAACATGGGCTTGCAAAAATTTCATGATAGATTTGAAACTAAAGTTTGCGTCACGTAAAGACTTAAACACTCATTATAAAGTGTTTAGGTTTTTTTACACCGGGTCCGGGTATTTTTGCGAAAATACCCGGTAGGTCGAAGTGTTAAAAAAAGAGTTAAGTTCTCATTTTCTATAAACCATAGTCGTACAGATAGTCCTACAGACATTCCTACAGATAGTCCTACAGACAGCCCCACACCATAACCGTGGCTTTTTATTGATTAATAAAATAATCCCCTCCGAAAAATGTAACCTTTTTACCTGCATTCAACCGTCACACATGATGCTCACTGCTTCATCGCTTTTTAACCCCCCCCCCCCAACCCCAGTGCTATTAATATGAAACATGATGAGTAGGGGAGGGGCCGGTTGTGCAAAGGAAGCAGCCACACCAGAAGAAAAATGACCCACCCCAAAACCGTGGCTTTTTATTGATTAATAAAATAACCCCCCCCGAAAAATGTAACCTTTTTACCTGCATTCAACCCCCCCCCATGATGCCCACCGCTTCATCGCTTTTTAACCCCCCCCCCCCAACCTCAGTGCTATTAATATGAAACATGATGAGTAGGGGAGGGGCCGGTTGTGCAAAGGAAGCAGCCACACCAGAAGTAAAATGTGTATGCCGGGATAGATCTATTTTTAGGGATCAGAAGGGTCAAATGAAGCAACTAGTAGCAAGTTAAAAACCTTTTAAGTTTCTTTAACATTATATTTTCATTTATTCATAGACAATAGAAACAAAACAATTATTAAAAAAAAACCAATTCTTTCATAGTTAAATTTAGTTTATAATATATTTTAAATTAAATTTATTTGATCACGAAATGCCCTTCTTTCGGTACAGGCCAAAATCTCGGGAAATGAGAGAGTCATACTTCTCTTCTACCAGATGCAGCTTCGAATGTGCTTTTCTATATCACCGCAACTTCTTTTTTTATTCAGGTCATCGAAGTTATTTATAGTTTTTAACACGCGGGTCTATATTCATCGGGCTATCGGACATGATAATCTTCAACAACATCCCAGATAACAAACAACAGATCTGGTTTACAATTCACCAACGAGTAAGGTTGGTAATAAGGAAATGTCTACGTGAAGATGATGCATTAACTCATGGCATGATACGCAAGTCAGACCTTAAGCAAAATACAATATGGTCCATGGCACTAGGTGGGGACATGAAACGCTAAAACTATTCATACATATATCAAATGCCTTACGAGACTTACATGTTATGTTTTTGATTAATTCAAGAGGAGCAAGTTAAACCGTTGTTCTGTCAAAAATAAAATGTTTGCAGAAAGTCAAGGTGTTGAAACGGCTGTTTGTGTCAGGGCGCTCAAATAGCTGCAGGTGTCAGGGCGCTGAAATAGCTGCATGTGTCAGGGCGCTCAAACAGCTAGCTGCATGTGTCAGGGCGCTCAAATAGCTGCATGTGTCAGGGCGCTCAAATAGCTGCATGTGTCAGGGCGCTCAAATAGCTGCATGTGTCAGGGCGCTCAAATAGCTGCATGTGTCAGGGCGCTCAAATAGCTGCATGTGTCAGGGCGCTCAAATAGCTGCATGTGTCAGGGCGCTCAAATAGCTGCATGTGTCAGGGCGCTCAAATAGCTGCATGTGTCAGGGCGCTCAAATAGCTGCATGTGTCAGGGCGCTCAAATAGCTGCATGTGTCAGGGCGCTCAATCAGCTAGCTGCATGTGTCAGGGCGCTCAGCTAGCTGCATGTGTCAGGGCGCTCAACTAGCTGCATGTGTCAGGGCGCTCAAATAGCTGCATGTGTCAGGGCGCTCAAATAGCTGCATGTGTCAGGGCGCTCAAAACGCTGAATTTGTATCTCCTCCCCTACTACTCAGTAAAACATAGCAATGGCTTTCCTTTGTCACGTGACTAGGTCATTTTTAAGCCTGATTCCTCAAACTACGGCCCACGTACCAAATCCGGCCCACCAGGGGTCGTTTGACCGGGTCCGTCGTATGGGTAGGTTACCTGAGTAAAAGTGACAAAGTAGCGTCGGTAATTGACCATCTCATTAGCCAAAAGCAGAATCACACTTCCAAGTGACCATTTCATTAGCCAAAAGCAGAATCACACTTCCAAGTGACCATTTCATAAGCCAAAAGCGAAACACCTGTTAAAATAAATTTGAGGACCACTTATTTAGGTAGACAAGGCAGACTATTTTTAGTTGTTATCAAAAGTGATTCAACGTAATGTGAGCTCTTCTATCTCACTACGTCACACCAAGTTCACGGGTTCTAAAAGTGGTGGAGAAACGGGGCGTATCGCTTTGAGAGACCTTTAATTTAGTTAGCGTTAAGATGAGTTAATTTAAATTTGATTCACCATGACCCATGTGTTAATTCTTGCCTGTAACATTTACAAAAAGAAAGAAATTCGCTAACTGTTTAAGACCAGAACTTTCAAATTTACCCAACTTTGAAGTCACCGTCATATCGGATATCTGATTGTACCATCGGGCCAGGTACTGCAGTTGTTTATAAGCAAGCGCCGAGATCAATTTGACTGTCAAATCACATGAACCAATCAACTGATAAAGGTAAAACATACTTACTATTAACTCATTGCTTGAATCCAGCTGAGTGTCCCAACTTAACTTATTGTTGAAATAAATCTACATAACTTATTACATGGAGACCAGACACAGAGAGGTAATGGCTGATTATTTTTTTTTGACGTTATGTGGTCACGTAAAGTGATATCATACTGCTCATGTGGGCAGTAAACTTAATTTTCTACAAGAGAAATACAGGTAGTACTGCGTTCCGGTTACATAAGCTTACTTGGTTGTTTTTTTAAACTCATTTTTAGTTTTATTTTGTTACGTATTATTGACATCTGATGTGTAGGCCAAATGGCAGCACCCGTCATTTTGTCTCTGGTCTTTTAACTTAAATTATATCAAAGTCTTGCGACACATGGGTCACACTCGTATGCTTAATAATCTCTTATATATATATATATATATATATATTTCATTTGGTATGTCCCGCTTCCTTTACAAAACATGCCCTCTACCTACTCAACATGTGTGATTGACAGTTGTGAGTGAGCAAAAAAATCGCGCCACGCAGCGAGTGTTGGGCGTGGCGTTTGACATCAAGTGGAATATTTGAATTTGTTTCTTCCTATTATATTAGTAAAGAGCCACGGGTATGGCGTAGGACGGTCTGTCGGACTGCCTGTAGGACTGTCCGTGGGGCTGTCTGTAGCACTTTTGTTCAGAGGCTGGCAGGAAGGGTGTAGGACGTTCTGTAGCACTGTCTGCAGGACTGTTTGTGGGACTGTCTGTAGGACTGTCCGTGGGGCTGTCTGTAGCACTTTTGTTCAAAGGCTGGCAGGAAGGCTGTAGGACGGTCTGTAGCACTGTCTATAGACTGTTTGTGGGACTGTCTGTAGAACTGTCTGTGGGGCTGTCTGTAGGACTATTGTTTAAGGGCCGGAGGGTAGGATGTAGGGCTTTATGTTGGTCTATTGTTTAAAATTCGGCATGTAGGGTGTAGGACTGTCCGTCGGACTGGCTGTAGGGCTATTGTTTAAAATTTGGCATGTAGGGTGTGGGACTGTCCGTCGGACTGGCTATAGGGCTATTGTTTAAAATTCGGCATGTTAGGGTGTAGGACTATCCGTCGGACTGGCTGTAGGGCTATTGTTTAAAATTCGGCATGTAGGGTGTAGGACTATCCGTCGGACTGGCTGTAGGGCTATTGTTTAAAATTCGGCATGTAGGGTGTAGGACTATCCGTCGGACTGGCTGTAGGGCTATTGTTTAAAATTCGGCATGTAGGGTGTAGGACTGTCCGTTGGACTGGCTGTAGGGCTATTGTTTAAAATTCGGCATGTAGGGTGTAGGACTGTCCGTTGGACTGGCTGTAGGGCTATTGTTTAAAATCCGGCATGTATGGTGTAGGACTGTCCGTCGGACTGGCTGTAGGGCTATTGTTTAAAGAGAATAGAGATATACTTTTTTTGTTTGTTGTAACTCTCGGGCACAACGGGTATTTTCTAAAAATATCCGGACCCCGTGTAAAGCAACTGCACCAAGTTAAGCCCTAGTAAAGCAATATTGCATGTCAAACTGAATCTTTTTATTTTCATGATGCTCCAGTTTTAAATTAATGACTAAGGGCTTCTTGTAAGTTGTCTGTAAATTTTTATATAAAATTGTTTTTCCACATAATGAATAAATGTACATGCACATGCGAAATACCTTTTATGATGGACTTCTGTACACCACATCTATAGTCAGCGTGCAACTTCTAGAGAGCACCATAAACGATATATTATATAAGGTAGTCTTCTACTACTTAAGTAGTGATATAGGACAAGTCTATGAAGTCATGTTGAAAAGTAAATTCAGTCATGAGCAACTTTGCCTTTGGGTCACAAGCTCATTAATTTACATTCCCTTTAAGTAACATTGGATATCTTTAAATCATATTGTCTTTCATTCAAATCGTCTTTAAGTCACAGTCCATTGTAAGATATGACGAAAGGAATTTTTATTCAATCAAAAATCTATCATCCACAGGTTTGCTGTAACCCATGTAAAGTCTTTGTTAATGCCAATTGTCTTGTGTTGGCATCCGGGATGTTTTGATTGAAAGGCACGATAAAAGACATTTCGAAAGACACATTGAAAGATAGATTTAAAAATGTACAGCTTAGAATACGATCCGTATGCTTTGAACAAAGCCATGAAAGCACTAAACATCATCTTCATCATCCTCATACTGCTGGCCAACGGTTTGCTCATATTCAAGAATGTCCGTAAAGGTGACTTCATGTACAAGCCAAAAACACTGACAATTTTATCGCTGGCCATTGGAGATGTTCTTCTGGCTCTGTTTCCGGTGGTTGTGCAAACAAATATGCTGTTTAATATTTACGCCGGCCGCCAATGCACGGTAATCATGCCAGCCGATGTGTACATGTACTACCTCATCACCTTCGTCTATGGATGCGGTCTCGTGGTACTAGGATGGGAGATACTGAGCCGCCAGAAGAACCCGGGACTTAGGAGTATGTCGCAAGCCCTCATCGCATCTAGTGTCCCTTGGTTTTTGGGGATGATCATCATTCTGCCACTTGGTTTCGCGAACGTTGACTGGGTTACTTGTGTGGGTCCGTCGTTGGCTCAGGTCAGGGCCACGTATATAATAGCTGTCCTCTTGCCGGCCATTGGCACTGTAGTAAGTTCCGGTTTTGTCAAGTCTGGAGTGTTATCCCGAGTGCTTCACACACAGACCGGAAGTAACAGCTCTCCACCCAATCAGTTTTCTAATCCACAAATCAACGCCCCTCCGGCATATTCTGCGCACGGATCGTATCCCAACTATCAACCACAACACGGATACACTCTACCACCTCCACTGGTTCTGCAAACTCAGCCAGGCTATGCAAATGTAGGCTACCAGCAGGATCGTTTCGGTAATTATCCGACCCCTACGATGGCCCCCGTTGTGGCCCTGTCCAACGCAAACCTGGAGAAGACACGATTACTGGTCATCTCTGTAGTGTTCCTTCTGCTGGTCACGCCGTACGCCATTTACGTACTTGCTTGTGTGATAAACGACGATGACTTGGACCGTCTAGGAAAGTTGGTCTACATCGTCCTGGGCAATTTGTTTTTCTACCTGATGTTGTTACGCCCAGTCGTTACGCCCCTGCTCATGTTGGGCTACTCTGACATGTAAACTCACATTATTCAACGGTGACGTGTTTGTTTTTGCAAAATGTCAATATGGTGGAATTCAAAGTTTGCCTTACTTCCGATTGTCGTAATACCCAGAAATAATTTATTGTCTACCTCGTAATCTCACGATGATCCAGTGTCACGTTTGCTGTATTTTTAAAATGCTAGAATGCCATGTTTCTACTTTTCACAACTTCACAATGCCCGATTGTTGAGAGACTTACAAGGACAGACACCAAGTTACATTGCCGTTCTTTGGCTCAATTAACAACTCCCCAGAAAATACAATTGGTAGAACTTCTCCATTCTAAATATTTCTCTCCATTAAGAGGCCACACATTTCGTCCATGTGATTGTATTTTAGGAATAACCCCCCTACAAAGTTAAGGAAGTTAGAATGAATGTCAACACCGAAAAATTACGCTGAGGCGTAAAGTCATGAACAAATATCAAAATGTACCCGGAAGTGTTGAGTGTGTTCGACTCTACGACCATGTCCAAAGTGACCTCAAGGTGTAGGGAGTTTTCGATATGGCGATGCTCAAACTAAGCCCCAGTTCAGTAACATTCTGGTATGGGATGGGAACATGGCCATGGTTTAACATTGTTTCGTCAGTGTTAGAGGACACAGCTGCACCTGACTCTTCAGACCAAGAAAATGATGTTATCCTCTTAACGGTGACTTTAAAGCTTAACGTATGTTTTCTCCAGACCATTTCTGGCCATACCCCAACGCCAAAAAAAAAAAAAAAAAAAAAAAAAAAAAAATAAAAAAAAAAAAAAATAAAAAAAAAAAAAAAAAAAAAAAAAAAAAAATTAAAAAAATATTCATTTAAAAAAACCAACGCCAAAACAATATTGATCTTTCTGAAACAAATGTTTCCTTGTGTTTATATCTTGGCTTTATTACTAAAATATACTTGTGGATGGTAAAACATTTTGGTTTTAAAACTTCATATTCTGAGCAGGTGTGTCTCATGTGGGCACACTCCTGCTCCACAGTACGAGTTGCAAGAATCGTGACTCTATCATATCATCATGGGGCTATAACTTTTTTTAAAAATTGAAATAATTTATTAAAAAAAAAAAACCGATCTGTCAGCACTTTTGATTTTTTTACATTTTTTCTGTTAAAAACAATATATATAAATATAAATATATATTTAACATAAATAAAAAAATATAATTATTTTTAACTCCTGATCCACAATTATATTAAAGAACTATCAAATGTTTTAAATAAAACTCTAATAAAGCATTTTACAGATGCATCGAAATAACATAATTTAAAAAAAAAAAAATAGGCATTGAACTGATTTACAGAATAAATGAAAAAGTTTGCAATGGAACACATTTCTATTAAAATACGTGGCCCGAATATACCAGCTAATACATGATACATACTTGTACTGTAACTTAACAAAGGTTTTAAATCAGTAAATAAAATAACTTTTTAGAGGATGAGTACATTAATTGGATTAAACAATTGATCAAGCTTTGGTAAGTAACTTATTTACATTGTATTATCTTATTTTTAGTTGTAAGAAATTTTTTTTATATTTTTTTTTTTTACAAATTGTGACAAACAGCTAAGCAACATTTCCCACCCATTCCGAGGGCTGTTGCTCAAATGAATCCCTTTCTCATCCCCCCATCCTCAAAGTTCTTACTACATGCTTAATATTATTATGTTGTTATATATTCCTAATGCTGGTTCTTAATTAACTGTGTGTATATTTTTGGGGGGTTGTTATGGGTATGAGTGATTTATTACCTTTTAAGGCTCTTGGAGCAGGCTGTGTGAAAACATGATTGTTTTCTCCCTATGTACTGTGGTGTGCTGTTGTCAGTTTTTGTTAAATGTCATAGTCTAATTCTTATGTAGTCATGTGTAAATGGGTTTTCTGCCGCTATTCTAATGGTTTGTCCATAAATCTAATTCTGAGTGCGTTTATTTTTCTCTGTATGTCTTGTAAATTAATTCCCCCTTCCAAATTTAGGTTGGGTTAGTGCTCTTTGATTAATTTTTTTGCGTGGTTCCTTGGAATGTGTCATTCCTAATGTATGTACTGATTTGTTTTAATATTGTTGATGGGGGATTTCATATGTTGCCTGTGTTTATTGTTTTGAGAATGAGATTTATTGGTTTTATTATAGTGCTTCTTCCAAAAATTCTGTGTTCTGTGTATTTGTGTCTTTCAATTATGTTTTTAAAAAAAATAGATTTTTCGATATTTTGCCATGTTTCTGTATTAGTTTGTGTCTGATGGTTTGAAAAGTAAATCCCATATATACTAAGACTGCCCTTTCTAATTATGCCCAGAGGGAATTCTAATCTATCTTCCCATCTCCCTTTTCCCTATGATTTCAAATTCAGATATGTTTGGTTTTGATCTTCAAAACTCTTGAAAAAATAGTATTACTTCTGAAATGGACCTATCACCTACAGGAAGGAAAATGGTGACATTTGCATAGTCCATGACCTTCAACCCTTACCCCCCAGGGATTCCCACGTCGTCAACTTTTCTTTCCCTCCCAACTTTTTGGAATGGGATAAAGGGCACCCTAAAGATAAGGTAATAAAGGACACCCTTGCCTAAAGGATCTGTTTATTGGAAAATCTTTGGAAACTGTTTTAAACTATTAAATTACTATTGGGTGACCTGTATAAAACTCTTACTCAATTACAAAAAAAATCCCTTAAATTGATATTTTGAGTACTGGATGAGATCTGTGATGAAATGCTTGTGGTTGTTAATGTCCCTACCTTTGGGGCTGCATTCCCGGTTTGTATGAATGAGAGTGTTTAAGTGAGGAGTCGATTTATTTGCTAATTTTCCTCTGAGCATTTTATAGTCTGTGCACAGTATGTGTGATAGTATGTATGTCTGATTATAATTGTTGCGTGTATTGAGTGAACTTTGTGACAAAATCGCCCTGAAATGTTGTCATGTGGTCAGTTGTTTTCTTGAATGTTTAAACTTAAAGGTGTGAATATTGATGCAGAGCTGGGGTGGGTGATCACGTGATGTGAAGGTGTAAAAAATAATTAGAAACAAGGTTAGTTTTTACCCAAAACACAGACGAGTTGGCATCATACTTTACGTGTAGGGCCTGTGTACAGTAAGGCTATGGAAATGTGTGTAGGGACCTGTGTTCTACACAGATATGGGAATGTGTGTAGGGACCTGTCTACAGTAAGGGTAAAAGAATGTGTGTAGGGACCTGACTACAGTAAGGATATGGGAATGTGCGTAGGGACCTGTCTACAGTAAGGACATGGGAATGTATGTTATGGGAATGTGTGTAGAGACCTGTATACAGTAAGGATATGTGAATGTGTGTAGGGACCTGTATACAGTAAGGATGGGGGGAATGTGTGTAGGGACCTGTGTAAAGTAAGGATATGGGCATAATGTGCCGTGACCTGTGTCCAGTAAGGATATGGGCATATGTGCAGGGACCTGTGTCCAGTAAGGATATAGAAATATGTGTAAGGAGCTGCAGGTTGTTTGTTTTTATTGTGAGAGAATTTTTTGTTATAATTGGTACAAGAATTTTTGAAATAATTTAAAGGGGTGTACTCATTTTTTTTTTTGGTTAAAAAATGCAAATTTATTTGACTGAATCCTAATTTTAAAAGATTTTAAAATGATAATTTCCTCTCTTTAAAAAAAAAACAACTATTGTCTGACACTTGATTGAAAAAGTAACTTTATAACTAAACGTCAGATTTCCTGCAAATTGAGTTTGGGCAGATTTAATTCCCTTTGCAAGAGACTAACTTCCCACTTAAGTTGCTTCCCTTTGTACTGCTACCTACCGTTGACGGATAATAATACCAGGAACATTACTGATCGCCGCTTCGGGCAAACTGGTCATTTTCGAAATGTTGCCAAATACCAAATTATTTGAACATTTTGTGCTTAAGACTCTAATATCTGAAATTGAAAAAAAAAATGGCTCAATCAAATCAATGACTGTCAGCATGGCTTTCGAGTCAACAGATCATGCGAGACCCAACTCCTTGAATTTGTTGAAGAATTGACGACCAACTTGGAGAACAGCAAGCAGACTGATGTGCTTGTGCTGGACTTTTCAAAAGCGTTTGACCGTGTCAACCATAGTTTGCTATTACACAAACTGCAGAACCATGAACCGTTACAGAAGCACCTCGAGTGTTGGCAGCATGCTGGAAACACTGGGCTCGTCGACATTGGAAGAATGACGACGACTATCCAGGCTCACCATGTTGTACAAGATAAAAAATGGGCTGGTGCACTGCTCCGGAATCAAACAGAAACTCGTCCATCTTCCCCCCAGACTGCGACGAAGCCACGACAGACAGTTCCGGCTGGTAAAAACAAGAACAAAGTACAGAAGCTCCTCATTCCTGCCGAAGACAATAGGGGACTGGAACAAGCTTCCAAAAGCAACAGTTGAGGCGGCTACACTCGATACATTTGTGTCTATTGCCTCCTGTATTCCAACCCCCAGTTCGTAACACCACTGCTGAGTCACCCTTGCAACCAGTGAAGCATCCCATTGAAACCCATGCACAGTAACATCGCAAACCCCTCTGAAACATAGGAGCCATAATGATCAATTTATTGATCGTGGGCCCTCAAAATAAAGAAAAAGAAGAAGAAATCATTTTACAGGGTTTTTGGAAGTTCTCATGATTGGAGCTGATACACTAACCTGTTTGGAATAGTCTAGTGTTATTCTAATAAGGTCTAAGCAGGCTTTAGTTATTTCATTAACAATGTGTTCCATGTCAATATAAGCAAATAACTATTTGAATAAAACTATCGCTAAAAAAACTAGTTAGAACAATAAACAGTTAATGGAAATAGTTCAAAATTGATGACTGTAGACCACGTCTTTGGCGCAGGAAGTGTGGTGCTGCTCAGGAGCTGTTTTTCCTTGTCTGTATGGTGGATATTTTATAAACTATGGCTCGTGGAAACAGTGTTTGTTGTTTGTCGTGTCATATGTTTGTGTTATTTGGGTCAAGGCTACCAGCTTGTGCGATCAAATGCAGGCCGCGAGAAGAGCAGACTACTGTGTCCGGTCCTCCTAAAGGTAGATCTTAATCCTCATTGGCTCCTCCAACTGAGCCACTTAGCATCCTTTCAAAGTGCTGTGCCCATCTCTCTAGTACCCTACTGATCTCTAGTACCCTACTGCTCTCAAGCAGGCAATTGTTCTCTAGTACACTACTGCTTTCTATTACCGTACTGTTCTCTAGTATCATATTGCTCTCTAGTAGCCTACTATTCTCTAGCACACTACTGCTCTCTAGTACCCTACTGGTCTCTAATACCCTACAGCTCTCTATGCTCAGTTCTCCATCCATACTTTAACAGAAGTGTTATCTTGCTTGAAAGCCATTCTTGTCCTGCTCTATATTTAGACACATTTCCCTAACATAGGGTGACCAAACATCCCTTAAAAACGGGATTGTACCGTTTTTTTTCACGATCTTAAACGGTGTCCCGAAAAAGTCTCTCGGGACGCCTAAATGTCCAGTTTCTAAAACCAAACACATTTTCTTTTCTAGTTTTGACAAATTTACATTAGATAATAAGAGGAATTTAACAATGGCTGGGACAACAGCCAAATATCCTTAATTTCAATCCTAGACAAGAGAAATTTAATATGTTGTGTTGCATTATGTTGTAAAATATGCATAAATAAATAATATTTCACTGCAAAATTATTGTTTTCGTTCATG